CATTCATTAGCTATCTATCCATTTAATAATTCACTCATGAGCTTATCCATCTATTCATTCATCCAATCATTCATACATTCATTCATCCGATCATTCATCCAATCATTTATCCGATCATTCATCCAATCATTCATACATTCATTCATCCGATCATTCATCCAATCATTCATACATTCATTCATCCAATCATTCATACATTTATTCATCCATTCATTCATACATTCATTCATTCATTCATTCATACATTCATCCATTAATTAATTATAATTCAGAGGTGGGCAAACTTCTGGTCAATCTATTATTATTGTTGTTGTTGTCATTGTTGTTGCTGCTGCTGCTGTTGTTGTTGTTATTATTTACTCATTCGTTCGTTCATCCATTCGTTCATCCATCCATCCATTCATTCATTCATCCGATAATTAAATATAATTCAGAGGTGGGCAAACTTTTTGTTGTGAGGACCGCATTGAGAAATATTTTGAAGGGCCACAAATGTATTTAAATAGCAAATTTTTTCGACCCAGAGGGGAATTTTTTAAGATTTGTGGCTCCTTTTTTAGGCCGGCCGCATACATAAAATAGCTTCGCGTAGTTTGCCCACCCCTGAATTAATTAATTCATTCATTTCTTCATTCATTCACCCATTCATGCACCCATTCATTTATTCATTCATCCATTCAATCATCCATTAATTTACTCATTCACTCAGAGGTACCTCAATGGATCCATAATCAAAATATCTGAATAGAAGCCGTTACATAACAAACTATTCTGACGGGACTGTAACAGCTGATAATTCTGTATGGATGTGTGCGTGTCTGTGTGTGTGTGTGTGCGTCTGTGTGTGTGTGTGTGTCTGTGTGTGTGTGTATAACTGTATGTATCTGTGTGTGTGCGCAGAAATAGAAGTAGTAATAGTAATAGTAGTAGCCGCAGTAGCATCAGAAGTAGTAGTATTGGCAGTAGTAGTAGTAGTAGTAGTAGAAGAAGCAGCAGCAGTTGCAGCAGCAGTTGCAGCAGTATCAAACCTGTAAATGGGTGTGTATGTAGTTTGACTTGATACTCTCCATACAGCGACCATCCGAAATATCCCACAGACACATTTCTCTGTTTACAACGATGACGACGACGATGATGATGACGTCATTTGCGGTTGTCACCATCGTTATCATCATCGTCTTCACCATCATGAAGATAATCTTCACCATCACCATCTTCACCATCATCATCTTCACCATCATCATCTTCACCATCATCACAATCATCATCGTCACCATCATCACCATCACAACCAACAGCACAGACATATTTCACTGGTGGTGATGATGACGATGATGATGTCATTTACGATCGTCATCATTATCATCGTCATCATCATCATAACTAACCCAGTATCAGAGGAACTAACAAAATATGTTTCGCCAACATCATATTCACTTTGATCATCAGCATCATCGTCGTCATTTTTAACATCATTACTATTACCAATGTTATTATTATCAACATTATTATTGTTGTTATTATTGTTATTATTATTTTTGGCGGTAGTAGTAGTGGTAGTTGAGGCGACTGCCAAGCAGGTAACAGTCGACGAGTGGCCGTACAACACCATTCGGGCTGACATCTTAATTATTAATTAACAGCTAATTAACGTTCATAATCAGCTAATTAATATTCATTATCAGCTAATTAACATTCATAATCAACTTATTACCACCCATTACCAGTTAATTAACATTCCTAACTGGTCGGCGAAATGGTTTAAAGAATGAATGACTGAGTTAGGCGAGTTGTAGCTCAGGCAGTAGAAGTGCTGCCATGTTTCGCGCTGTTATCACGCCGTGACCTGATTCGAATACCGTCTGCCCGAAGCTTAAAGATTATCGTGGCGACACTATGAAGAAATTGTAATAATAAGAAAAATAATAAAAATTCATAAGCTCCGCCCACCGTCCAATCAGAATCGACGTCCCAGACGCATAGCTGTCCATCATTGGACCCGGTTACGACGTGCTTCTGATTGGCTGTCATGAGCAGGCAGGTTATCGAATGGGTGGGGGGGTTTTTGCCCCAGAGTGCCACGGGTATGACTAAACTACTGTTCGACATTTTGGGATCTGAGATGGTGTTGTTGTTGTTGCTGCTGGGGGTGGTGGCGGTAGTGGTGGCGGTAGTGGTGGTGGTAGTGGTGGTGGTAGTAGCGGTCGTAGTGGTGTAGCTTGTTGACGATATTCTTCTGCTTCGAGACGACTGGCTGACTGTTTGAAATTGTCAACAGGAAATTATTACGGAATAGTAATATAGGTTCAGAAAAGTTATGAATGGATGAATGAATGAATGAATGAATGAATGAATGAATGAATGAATGAATGAATGAATGAATGAATGAATGAATGAATGAATGAATGAATGAATGAATAAATGGATGGATGGATGGATGGATCGATGAATGAATGAATGAATGAATGAATGAATGAATGAATGAATGAATGAATGAATAAATGAATGAATGAATAAATGAATGAATAAATGAATGAATGAATAAATGAATGAAAAGTATTATATCCATAATTCTAAAATAATTCACCAAATATATTTCCATCATTCCAATAATTATTAATTGTTATTACTACTACTACTACTACTACTACTACTACTACTACTACTATTACTACTACTACTACTACTACTACTACTACTACTACTACTACTACTACTACTACTACTACTACTACTACTACTACTACTACTACTACTACTACTACTACTACTATTACTACTACTACTACTACTACTACTACTACTACTACTACTACTACTACTACTACTATTACTACTACTACTAATACTACTACTACTACTACTACTAGTACTACTACTACCACTACTACTACTATTACTACTACTACTACTACTACTACTATACTACTACATGTAGTAGTGGTAGTAGCATTATCAAATGATTTTTGCTTACAAGAATTCAATGACTTAACTCTCTTAAACAATTTCACCATTTTAAACTGAAGACAAATTCCCTTCTGATTTGAATTAAAAATAAATTTAAATAAATTAATAGTAAATAATTGTAATAATTATTAATTATTATTCCATAAAAATTGTACTTTATAACAAATTATACAAAAGAAATTCAGAAATAAAATTAATCAAGATACAAAAATTAATCTTCTTTCTCATAACATATGCAAGCAAGCTAAACAAACATATCCAAACGTGTTTGTGTATGCAAATATGTGTGTGTGCGTGCGTGCCTACGTGTGTGTGTGCGTGTGCGTGTATGCATGTATGTATGCATGTGTAAATATGGTCCCAAGGTTTGCTTTAAGTTATTTAAGCTAATTAAGACGTTTCTATTGAATACTGAAACACAATATTTGCCCTTAAGTATGTTTTTGTGTGTGCGTGTGCGTGTGTGAATAAATATGTGTGTTTGTGTGAGTATGTGTGTTATTTTATAATCATATATATATATGGGTGTATATATATATATATATATATATATATATATATATATATATTGTATATATCAGAAGTATATATAATACTGTTGGTTTTATCACTGAATATGGTTGGCTCATGCTGGTCAAAATACTGTGCAATGAATAAAATTATATAAGTGTATTCACTCAATGTTCCAATACAACACTCTGTAATAATATGTAAATGTAATGATGTAATAAATGTTAATGTAACAAGTTATCATAAGAAAAACATCACTACAGCAGTACAATTACATTAAATTACATTAAAGTACTAAGTACAGTGAACATGTATATATATACATACATACACATATATATGTTGTATTGTATGGTATTGTATCACCTGTATATCACAAGATACAAAAACATGCAGTACTAAGTACAGTGCACATACATACATACATACACATATATATATATATAAGTTGTATTGTATGGTATGGTAGTATTGCATCATATTGTATCACCTATCTATCACAAACTACACAAACAAAACACAGTCGTATCCAAATTAAACTCAAATTTTTTGTACATTAAAAATTGTTTAATTGAATGAATATGATGAATGAACTGAATGAATGACTGACAGATCGAACATTGAATGGAAAAAAATGAATGAATGAATAAATAAATGAATTGAATGAATGAACGAATGAACGAACGAATGAATGAATGAATGACTGACAGATTGAATTGAACATTGAATGAATGAAATAATGAATGATTGTAATGAAAATGTAATAGTATGTGTTGTATTCGTTTGTGAGTATGCCTTTTTTATGTATTGTATGGCTAGAGATGATATGATGAAGTATTGTATGTAATAATTAGTTAGGTGGTAGGTGCAGTATTGTAAATTAAAAACCAGTTCAAACACACTCCGACCAAATAATCTGCCTAGCTAGCTAGAGTTCAATTCTTCAACAATCAACAGACAAAAAATTATTCTTTTCGTTATTATAATTATTATTATTATTATTAGTAGTAGTAGTATTTATCAAATAAATATAAAACAAATTAAAATTCCTCCGATTTGTTTACTTACATTTGTCATTATAATTTATATAATAATTTATATATAAATATACATACCATATGATCATAATATAGTAACATATGATTATAATATAGAGATGCGTTAGAACTTATTCGCTACAATCGGTTTGCTACTCGAATGTTATACCGATTTCGATTTGAGATCCGAGTTTGGGTAATAATTCCATTCAGGTGTTTATACAATCGTCTCAGTTGAATTTCTTTCACTATACTTTTCAGAATTTTGTTAATCTCTTGTAAGATGATCAACCCGACACACTGGGCAAATAAACCACAAGTTTTAAACTAAAAATGAAAAAAGTAGCCCACCTTTATCGAAGGCCCTTCAATTACGTCTCAAAAGCCCCAAAAACTTGGAGGCCCATGCCAAATGAACTCCCTCACTCCGCATTATATATGTAAATATATATATTTTATCACATTAAAACACTTTGTATTCAGTATATTTATTCATCTTCTAATTCTTTACAAAATATAGGGTAAAAAGGCTCATCTTACTTCCATAATAATAATGAAAATAAAAAAATAATAATATAATAATAATTTAATATTATAAACACACACAGAACGAACGAACGAACGGAATGGACATAAAAAGAAATTATTTAAGAAATACACGCAAGCAAAAAATGGAAAAACATTTCGAGTTATTATTTCTCCTGCTTTAGAAACAAACACATATACAGACATCAATTTCTTTCATATTTATATATATGTATGTATATATATATATATGTATGTGTGTGTGTGTCTGTTTGTCTCTGTCCATGGCTTAGCTAATATCAAAAGTATCTGCCATTAAAATGTCAAGAATCAGCATATTGAGTGTTAAAATAATAATTAAAAAAAAAAATAATTCATAATAATTCTTCTTAATATTACGACATAAACACCTATATATATGTGTGTGTGTGTATGTGTGTGTAAACACATAAGTAATGACAATAATAATGATAATAATATATCTACATTTACTGAAGCTATAACTACTATATATATATAATTATATATGTATATATATATATAATTATATATGTATATATATATATAATTATATATGTATATATATATAATTATATATATATAATTATATGTTGGTAATAGACCATAATTTTTACAATATTCTATAAATTCTACCGAATGTTTGGCGTTAATATGTTAACATATTAACGCCAAACATTCGGTAGATTTATAGAATATTGTAAAAATATAATTAAATATATATATATAATTAATTATATATATATCTATATATAATTATAATTATTATAGGCGAGTTTCACTATGGTTGCCTTCAGTTTAAAAATCAGTGAAATATAAGTATGACAAGTATGCCCAAGAAATTGGTTAGTTAGTTAAGCAAATGAATTTTTACCTCTTGGTCTTGGTGGAAAGAAAAGGAGTAGAGATTGATCGATTAATAGCTTATGTAGTGAATTAGTTAATAAATTAGTTAATTAATTAAACAATTTCTCTTAAGAAATCAAACTAAATGTTTTATTTTTTTATATGTATAATTTAATTATTACGAAAAAAGAGCGGCCTTAAAAATATAAAAGTTAAATTTAAATTAATGATAAAGACGCAGCTAGCTATCAAGTGTTGCATATTTTGGAGAGAGAGAAACGCAATGCAGAAAGAAAAGAAGCTTATAGAGAGAGAGGGAGAGAGAGAGGGAGAGAGAGAGAGAGAGAGAGAAGAAACAAAAAGAATGAGGATATACATAAAAAGGAGAGAAAGAAAGGACATTAATGTAAAAGTTTCACAATGTTAATAATGGAAAATGTTCAAAGATGATGTTATATATATAACGTTTGTCGTTCATTCGTTCATTCTTGTATTCATTCATTCATTCATTCAATCAATCAAAAATAATAAAAATAATAATAGGAAAATCGATAATGAGCTGTTATTGTTTTAAAAATGAAGACACAATAATTAAGTAATTAAAAAAATTAATTAGTCAATCAACCAACCAACTAATCCAACAGACAACAAAGCAATCAATCACTCACTCACTCAATTAACAGTCACTCACTCAATCATTCATTCATTCCTTCATTCACTCAACTCAACCAACCAATCATTCAGCCAGTAATCCAATCAATCAACCAATCAGAAGTTAGCCCTTGCAGATTGGTTCTCTTTCATGTGCACATCAGTATCAAAGTACTTGTGCTTCAAAGCCGTGACCGCTGAAATCCTCTTGGTTGGATTGTATATGAACATACCCTGCGATGTGATTGGTCGGTTTGGAAAAAATGATTGACAGGTTGATGGACCGATCGAAAGGTACCCCACCCTCACAATCATTATCATCATCAGTATTGCTATCACAATCATCATCACAATTACAATCACCATCACCATCACAGTCATCATCATCACCATAACCATCATCATCATCACCATGACTCACTCACCTCCAACAAATCAAGGGCATCATCATCCATATATTTGGCAGCCTGCCTCAGATTGTTGACCTTCCATGACGGGAAAGTGGCCTTGTAGTCGGGCATCTCACTCACCCCCGGCCAGTTTTCCTCGGTGGGGGTCGTTAGGGTCCTGTGTAGGTGGGTGCATATGTTATGTACGTGTGTGTGTGTCTATGTGTGTGTGGGTGGGTCTGGAAGAGTATGTGTAACCAAAAAACCTGAATATCCTGAAGAGCTGATCGATCTCAGAATCTCCCCTGAAGATGGGTTTCTTCGAGGCCATCTCGGCAAATATGCAGCCAACAGACCAAATGTCGACGGCGGGGCAGTATCGAGGGCAGCCTAGAAGAACTTCTGGGGCTCTGTACCACAGGGTCACGACCTGGAAAGGGTTCACGGAAATGATGATGGTGGTGATGAAGATGTTGATGATGATGATGAAAACATTGACGACGACGATGCTGACAAAGATAGTTGTGTAAATTAAAGCGATGAAATAACTAAATAGAAAAAAGAGGCGCTCCTATATTGTACTTCCAATCTGCCAAATTTTTAATTTATACAAACTATTTACACCTGGACCCCATAAAAAAAAACTCCAAAGTTATCAACCACATGTAAAAATTAGGTACCTAAATTACTAATTAGATATATTCCTTATAATAATGTTAATAATAACAGTAATAATGAAAGAACATATCTAATTGTAATTTAGTCTTAACTCCATCCTGAAATACCCCAAAACTACTAATTAACTCTAAATTCTCTAAATCTCTAAAATCATTCCAAACCAAATTTTCAAATCCCTCTGTTCATTAATGAACTCCCCCCAAGCCTACTAACCTCATGGGTGTAGGCCCTCATGGGAATACAGACAGCCCTGGCCAGGCCAAAATCAGCCAGCTTGATCATTCCCTTGGCGTCGATCAGAAGGTTTTGGGGCTTGAGGTCTCGGTGGATGATTCGACGTCTGTGGCAGAATAATAAGGCTTCGAGGATTTGTTGCATGTAGCTCTGTGCAAGTGCGAGGTGGTGGTATTTAGTGGGTGGTCGTTGGGGATCATCATTATCATCGCTATCTTCATCACTTTAATCATCATTATCACCATCACCCCCACACCATCATCATTATCATCACCACTTTAATCATCATTATCACAATCATCACTATCATCATCATCATCATCCTCCTCCTCCTTATACCTTGATCAGATTTGGGCACATGAGTTTTTCAATGGGCAAAGAGTCGAAATACTTTTTGAGGTCCATAGATAAAAATTCAAAGACTAAATATAACTTTCCCTCTTGCATTAAGACCTCCTCTAGCCTGTCGAACGGAGTGGTCATTTTCATTTCATTGCAATTTAAATAATATATATACATGATTAATTATATGGGGAAAAATAGTCGACCTGCTTGGGCACAATGTACTGGCCAACAGACGACTTTTTTCACCAATATTTTTACTCAATTTTTTAATAATTAATAATAATAGTAAGACTAACAATGCATACCAACTAGCCATTATTACAATCAAACATCTGTCTCCAAAAAACTACAATGAACTACTTAGAAACCCACACACACAACTAATTACAACTACACTAATTACTATAAAAAACACTAACTACAATTACATTACACACTAATTACCACGAAAAAACACTAACGTAACAATACTGGGATGTACAAGTTCCTTCAAGAGGGAGATCTCACGAATGGCAGTGGACGGAATTCCTTCTTCTTCACTGTCCAGCCTAATTTTCTTCATGGCCACAAATCGGCCACTGGCCTTATGCCTGCCTTTGTACACCACGCCATATGTTCCTTCGCCTATTTTCTCGATTTTCGCATAGTCATCAATCGACGGCTGGCCGCTCATGCCTGGGGAAGTTTTTAATGTTTAGTTTATTCATTATTTATATTTATTTTATTATTTTCTCGCTTCCGCCATTTTCGTTTGAAGTTTGTTAGTTTCAAAATTTAAAAAGGAAAATTTAAGTTCGCTTAAATACGAATAACATTGTAAAAAATTTGAAAATTACTGAGTAGAAGTTCTTCACGGACGAGCTAAAGATGAAATTAGTGAAAAACCTGAGGAGAATCTCGAACGATAAATTGGCGGTAGGTTCAAATATTCAATATTTTAATGCGACAATAAAGAAAGTAAAAGTTAACTTAAATAATAAATATCATTAATTTCAAATAAATGTAAAATTTAACATTTTGCAGGTAATAAAATTATTTTAGAATCAGGATGTTAATTTTTAGTAATTTTTATTAATTATTTTTATTTTTTGAATTAAAATAAAATTTAATTTTATAGATTACCTTTTCGTTTTTAACAACAACCCACCTGGATTGAATAGGGTTTTTAAATTTGTCCGAATAGTTTTTAAAAAGTAATAAAAATGGAATTTATTATAAATAGGCAATTAAGTTTGAAAGACTTAGTGAAACATTATTTCAGACAGTTATTCTCACGGCCATGGTATTTAAAATTTGCCATTTTATTTCTTGTAACTGTGTTTTTAATATTAGCCCGTTTTAAAAACTTTACAACTGAACATTTTGCCGCCGAAAATGAACTAAAAAATAAATGGCGGCTAAAAGCAGATAAATTCGTCGTTAGAATGATGGCCGACGATCAAGTACGTCTGCCTAAAGTCTCTAACTTCATTCATGGTTACGGTAGTTTTTACCATTTTTACCGAATTCCTAGAAGATTTAAAAAAGCATTTTATTCCGAGATGACCAGCGCTAATCCGGACACAGCCCATCCTCTAGCTCCGGATTTTTCATTTCATCTAACTTACGACAAAAATAAAGTTAAAATATTCCACGACACGAATTGCGGTTGCATTTACCGAATATATATGTTACCTCCGTTTTCAAGTTATTTGAATAAAGTCGATTTACTAAAACCTCAAGATTTGAAAAATTTATTTTTGGAGATAACTTTAGATGATGTCACAACCATTTATAGTTTAACTGAAATTTTGGAAGGTGAAAAAGGACCGTTTCTCAGTCCAGTAAGCTCGAAAAATTCGAAACCATTATCCGGTATTGGGTCTTACACGCCGTTCTGTTACGCTAAAAGTGCTTCGATTCATTACGTCGACGATAACGAATATCCGACTAATTTGTTGAACCTCACCGTCAGTTGCGTGGCTAACGAGTTAAAGTGCCCAATAAAACAGTACACGGCAGTTTCTTACATGAAATCTTCGTGTTTGCCTGATGAACAGTCGACATTCAGTCAACTAAACAAAGAAAACTTTGCGAATTTGGATTATTTGGTCGAGTATTTTAAATATCCTGAAAACTACGGTCCGCACGATGATGACGGGTGTAATTTGGTTTGCGAAGATTTCAGTAGGAAAAACAAAATCATAAAGTTGATTGAGAGGTGGAATAGATCCGCTGTTGTCGTGTCAATCGTCCTAACCGAACTCCTAATGAATGATGACGATGAAATAAACGAGCGATATTTTGAAGATTGGAACGATATTTTTTTATCAGTAACTGTGGACGGTTCTTCAGAACCACAAATCTACATTTCATTGGGTGTTGTCTTCGTCACAAAAGGTTTTAAAACTGAATTCATTAGTGCGCCTTACGGGAGGTCTTACCGAGGATGTAACTATTTAATCAATCTCAATTCTACACTTACTTGGGACGTTTTGCAGGTCGGATATTTCTTTCTACCCATTCCTTATTGGCACGACATAAAAATTAATTTAGAATATCGGAATGAAGATATAAGAAAAAAGAAGAAAATCTGTTATCAAGTTCTCGAAAATGAAAACTTTTATGACGAGAAACAAACGGGACACCTGTACGGGCACAACGTCTTTCATTCTGGAGAAACGGAGAGATGGCGCGAAGTTTTGTCGGTAGCAGGCGGTTGGGGACATCTGGTTAGTCTTGCTGTAGAAATAAATAATCTAAAACCGATACTGGACGCTCCATTGATAGAGAGATGGGCGGCCTTGCAAGCCGATCCGGTCATTTATATCGACGGTTTTAAGTCTCCACGAGTCAGAGGAACCGGATTAGAAGATTATTTCAGTTTTTCTCATGGGTTTGCTGGTGCAGAAAATACTTCGTTTGCATTCGTTGGTGTTCCGTACGGATTTGAAAATAAAGAAACTACTGGCAAATCTTGGTCCTGCTACCGACACCATATTTTTGATCCGGTTCTATTCGACGATTCAATCGAGTTTATCATGGAAGGTACGCATGAAGATGAATATTACAAAGAAGCAAGAAAACTAACGTTCACCGAGTACAAAAGTTTAGAAGCATCGTTACAAACATCTTTCGTTTATACTCCATTTTATTATTTCAAAAAACATTCGAAAAATGTTCAATATAAATATTGCGATGATGTTATATTTTGTGAGGACGAATCACTAGCTTCACATAGTTTCAAATCTTCAACAACTCCAATACTTTTTCGATTCGATTCTTTGAAGTACCTTGGCGATTCAAAGCACAACTTTGAAGAGAAGAACGTTTGCGGATTTTCATTCAAGAATTTAACGAATATTAAATTTCAGTTGATAGTTCCTTCTACCACCGACTCGAAACTCGTATTTACTCGAAAGTATTACTCCAAACTGTATCAGTGGAACGACAAGTGCCTTGTGAACTATAACGGCTACACATTTGAGTGGCTATTCTCAATTGGACCGACCAATAGCGATTATTCGTTAAGAGAAGATTCAATTATTTTACCGATCTTAGATTCAGGAAAAACTACAAATGAATTTAATTTTCAATTAACAGTGCTCTCAGACTGGAACGATATATCATATACATTGTGCTCCATTACCGAATGAATGCGTGTATAGTTTCTGTTTTCATTCATTCATTCATTCATTCATTCATTCATTCATTCATTCATTCATTCATTCATTCATTCATTCATTCATTTATTCATTCATTCATTCATTCATTCATTTAATTACACTGTATATTTTCAATGCGCGTGTTTTTGATTGCATTTTATCACATCTGAGCACATCTTTTTAAACATTTACATGTTTGTTTAGTCATCAATTTTACTTTACTATGTTGAATCGTGCGTTATAAATCATGGGATTTTAAATTGAATATGCCCTGTCGTTTAAATACAGTGCTGGATTAAATAATCATATTTTGAAGTTTTAATAAAATTTGTGCCTAAAATGGACATTCGATTTAAGATCTTAAAATTAATTCGTACATGAAACTGTTTCAAATAAAACAACATTTAAAATTAATCAAAAAAGGGATTTTGTTAAATTTAACTTTGACCCTACCAAATTATGTATACTAAGCTTTTTTTACAATGCTTTTTTATTAACTACACCTGTAAAATGTTTATAACATTATTGATTCTCACCGTACAGTAATCATACTTTGTAAGTATATATGTAGTATTTATATTTATCAGTACCTATATCTCAAATATAGCATCAATAATTTATCGAAGATCTTCTAATAGTTGGTAAATATAGTAACTAAGATATAGTACATATCATTAAAAGTTTCACGCAATGTCTTTATATTTCTCAAAGGTTTTATATCTCTCAAGGGCAATAATTTTTATGTTCATCTAATCCGGATTTTTCGTGATTTATTTGTTAATACGGCCATCCCTTTTTATGACATCAATTTACTTTCATATGTTTTTTAAAAATGGCGACTTCGGGAATAATAAAGGTGAAGTGAAATTATACTTTTAATGCATTTAAAATTATTTTATTTCAAGGTTTAGTGTTTTATTTTTTAATTTTTAATTTGTTTTATTTTTAAAAAAAATAAAATTATTTAAAATTCTTCCTAAACATCTTAGACAGTTGCGAAGCACATTCCCCTGATCAAGTTTCCTAATCGTTTGGCCGCTGCCGGTCTGTTTTGAATTATAATTATAGATTTATTTAACAAGTTTCATTATTTAAGTTAAACTATCATTCATTCACGATCATTTATAATGTATTTCAGAAGATAATTGAAATAACCTTTCATGCAATTTTCAATTTTAATATGATGGTTAAAATAATGTCATTATTATAATCGTATAGTGATTTTTTAAGTTAGGATTTTAAGTTTTAAATTTAAAGCCAAAAAATTTGTTTTTATTATTAAAAATGATTTTTATGTACTCTGTTATCAGTTATTGTGTACTATAATGTGTATGTATATGTTAGGAATTATATTGTGTTGTATTATAAAGGATGCACTCTTTATAGTACTTTTGTAGATATGTGATTGTAGATTTTATTCATATATTAAAAATATTATTTCAAACTCAAAATAAAATTAAATTTTATAATACTAGGATGGTTTTTCACCCAATGATATATAACAATAATTAATAACACAAATACAGTCAGTTAACAAGATACATTATAATATAATATTATAATTCATTCACCTTATCACTAATCACCCCAGCAATGGCGGCAACCCAGCAGAGCAAGCAGCCATCTTCATCGGCGTCTGCTAAAACAGCAAGGGGGTCCGGTCTGCCCGAGTCTACCCTTTCAATGAGATTCAGACGGAGACCTTTGGATCAAGTTGAAATTGATTACGTTTTGGTGGGTGGTATTTTTTAAAGTTTATAATCCTACCAACATTTACACATAAGTCCTAATAAATATTTTTACATTGCTACTAATTATGTAAATATTGTTTGGAGTTGTTAGTTTTGTAGAAATATTTAGTAATTTGTTTTGTTAGGTGTTTGTTAGGTAGCCATTTGTGACAAAAAAAAGTTTTTTTTTCAGAGGGGTGGTCCAGAATGAATGACGTCAACGTTTTTTTTTGTCAACGATAAAAGATACTCAACGTTGCAAAAACTCCATAGATTTTTTTCTGCAATTATTAACTTCGGAACAATTTTTAGTAGTAATAATAATTCAAAAATTAATATTTATATTGTAATAGTTGATTATTAAAATATAATATAATAATTAATAATAAAATGATCTTGAAAAATAACAATAATTAAGATTGCAATTTTGAGTTTTTACAAATTAATTGGTTTTGTAGTTTTTTTTCTTATATATTTTTAAAAAAATTTGTATTATTTATCTTGTGTTATTAATTTTTTTTCAATACTTTAAGCACTTAACTTATTTTATTAAAATGGTTTTTTTTTTATGGTTTAAAGATTGGTATTTAAAGTTACAATGGACAGATTTTGTCATTTCATTGGTATGTGTGTTCATTCATACAATCGTTCATTCATTCATTCATCCATTCATTCATCCCATTCATTCATTCATCCCATTCATTCGTAGGAAATTTTTTGCTATGTGCATTTTGTTGTGAGATAACTTTTCATTTTTTTGTACTAAAATTTCGAAGCTCTGTTTCAGTTAGTCAAAGAAAGTTAAATAAAACAATTTTGAAAAAAAAATCGGCCTTCGGTACTGTGAATAATTTGTTACGAAATCAATGAAAGTTCAACAGGTCAACAACGACGTTGTTGGTTGATTGGTTGACTGATTGGGTGGCTGATTGGTTGACTGATTGATTCATTCATTGAATGATTGGTTGGTTGATTGATTAATTGGTTTGTTGGTTGATCGATTGTGCGTATGTAGTTATAGGTAGGCAAAGACATTTTCGTTATTCAAGATTATAACGTGATTTTTTTTTAATGTTTCATTCGTCTATTTGCCATTTTGTTTAATTGAAAATTATTTTCTTTTTTTTCTGGGCTGGGTAAGTGGTCCCTCTGGTCAGTCATGTAATAAATAAAAATAAACGAATAACTAATTAAATTAAATATTGGTAAATCGTGTCTCAGGGTTTGAGACACGTAATAGACATATTTTTACACAATAATGACCTATTCCAAGAAGTTTTGATGCAATAATAAAAATTTAATAAGTTAAGTACTAAAAATTGGTTTAATATTCCGGAACTTCCCTATCAATCAATCTTCGTTTAGCGCCCAGAGACCCGGTTTCCCGAGGTAGGACGTTGTTTTCTTTGCCATCAACTTTTTGCGCCAAGTTAGACGATCAGTTGTATCCATTTCATTTAAATTTAGAGCTTCTCTAATTTATGATAATTTATTATAAGCCAGAGTGCATGGTTACTAGTAAAAGCAAAACCGCCCAGATCTGCTCCATAATCATTAATAGTAAAACAGGTAAAACAAGTCAACAGCTTCAACTATCTCGGGAGTCTGATTACGTCAGGTTGTAAATGGGATGTGGATATCAAACGAAGGATAGCTATGACGATAGATGCATATTCTAAAATGAAAAACATCCTCACTAACAGTAAAATCGGATGATCGACAAAATTAAAACTAATCGCCCAGCTCCAACAGTTACGAAAATTTATACCAACAACCATTCCGTAAATTAGGGTGCTACTTTAATCAATGCTAACTTAAGCTAATTTATGTTTAAGCATGAATAGAAGATTTGGTTTTGATTAGTTAGAAAACCTTATTTTTGTAATTAAAATAGCAAAATTAAAAAAAATTATGAATGATATGGAAATTAAGTCTGTTGAATTCGATAGGAGTGCGTAAAACTAACTTTCAGTAGCCAGAATTCGTCGTTAGAATGTCGTCGTTAGACGATCAAGTACGTCTGCCTAAAGTCTCTAACTTCATTCATGGTTACGGTAGTTTTTACCATTTTTAGCGAATTCCTAGAAGATTTAAAAAAGCATTTTATTCCGAGATGATCAGCGCTAATCCGGACACAGCCCATCCTCTAGCTCCGGATTTTTCATTTCATCTAACTTACGACAAAAATAAAGTTAAAATATTCCACGACACGAATTGCAGTTGCATTTACCGAATATATATGTTACCTCCGTTTTCGAGTTATTTGAACAAAGTCGATTTACTAAAACCTCAAGATTTGAAAAATTTATTTTTGGAGATAACTTTAGATGATGTCACAACCATTTATAGTTTAACTGAAATTTTGGAAGGTGAAAAAGGACCGTTTCTCAGTCCAGTAAGCTCGAAAAATTCGAAACCATTATCCGGTATTGGGTCTTACACGCCGTTCTGTTACGCTAAAAGTGCTTCGATTCATTACGTCGACGATAACGAATATCCGACTAATTTGTTGAACCTCACCGTCAGTTGCGTGGCTAACGAGTTAAAGTGCCCAATAAAACAGTACACGACAGTTTCTTACATGAAATCTTCGTGTTTGCCTGATGAACAGTCGACATTCAGTCAACTAAACAAAGAAAACTTTGCGAATTTGGATTATTTGGTCGAGTATTTTAAATATCCTGAAAACTACGGTCCGCACGATGATGACGGGTGTAATTTGGTTGCGAAGATTTCAGTAGGAAAAACAAAATCATAAAGTTGATTGAGAGGTGGAATAGATCCGCTGTTGTCGTGTCAATCGTCCTAACCGAACTCCTAATGAATGATGACGATGAAATAAACGAGCGATATTTTGAAGATTGGAACGATATTTTTTTATCAGTAACTGTGGACGGTTCTTCAGAACCACAAATCTACATTTCATTGGGTGTTGTCTTAGTCACAAAAGGTTTTAAAACTGAATTCATTAGTGCGCCTTACGGGAGGTCTTACCGAGGATGTAACTATTTAATCAATCTCAATTCTACACTTACTTGGGACGTTTTGCAGGTCGGATATTTCTTTCTACCCATTCCTTATTGGCTACTTTAATCAATGTTAACTTAAGCTAATTTTTGTTTAAGCATGAATAGAAGATTTGGTTTTGATTAGTTAGAAAACATTTTTGTAATTAAAATAGCAAAATTAAAAAAAATTATGAATGATATGGAAATTAAGTCTGTTGAATTCGATAGGAGTGCGTAAAACTAACTTTCAGTAGCCAGAATAGACCAAAATTTTGAATTGCGATTTTTATGTAAGTACCTATAAATCCTAAATTACAAGTAAACGAATGTAAATGTTTCTGTAAGGTAGTAAAGGTTACAAGCGCCTGGAATGGCAGGGCTTGTCAGGGCCTGCCAATTCCCTCTCTCAATTTTACCGCAGAACCAGGTGTCTTGTCCGTGTTTAACCTCATCTCAAGTACTTGCTTTGGATGTAAGTTTTTTCATGTTTTTCAATTATTATTATTACAAATACGGAATAATATATATAATAATAATTATTATTCATCATAATTACACAAAAATATAGAAACAAATGAATAAATGAATGATAAATAAAGAACATTTATTGTTCTTAGATGGATATCACAATTTAAAAAAAAAAATTAAATCGTGTTCTATTTGAAAGGCAGTTTTATATCACAATCAATCAATCAATCAATCAATCAATCAATCAATCGATCAATCGATCAATCGATCAATCGATCAATCGATCAATCGATCAATCGATCAATCGATCAATCGATCAATCGATCAATCGATCAATCAATCAATCAATCAATCAATCAATCAATCAATCAATTAATCAATCAGTCAATCAAACAATTTGTTAATCAATCGATCAAACAAATCAAATCAGTCATACAACGAACAGTAAATCAAGTGATGGGTAGTGAATGGGTGGATGAAAAGATAGAGTAAATAAATGACTAAACCAATTGCTCAATCACTCAATCGCCCAAAAAATCAATCAATCAATTAAACATTCATTCATTCGTTGGTTCGTTCATTCATTCATTCATTAAGGTACTAAATAAAAAGACGATAAAAACTATGAAAATAAAAGTACAAAATTTCAAAATATATACAATTTTTAAAACTTCTCTAAAAATGAATAAGACTAACAATAATAAAAACAACAACAACAACAACAACAACAATAATAATAATAACAACAAGAATAATAATAATAACAGCAGTAGTAGTACTAAGAATACTTGGCAACTCTGTCATTCTTTATCACCGTGATCTTCTTTAAAAAAGTTTAATCATCACCATCAGCCCCATCACCATCATAACAATCATCATCTTCTTCATCTTCTTCTCCATCATCATCATCTTCTTCTTCATCTTCTTCTTCATCGTCATCTTCTTCTTCTTCGTCCCCATCATCATCATCTTTTCCATCATCATTTTCTTATAATCGTCATCTTCTTCTTTTTTTCATCATCATCATCATCATCTACTTCCTCATCAGTATCATCCTCCTCATCATCATCATCTTCTTCTTCTTCCTCCTCATCTTCATCATCACCATCATTCTTAAATACTGCTGACGACATCAGCGAGTCTTCGCAGACTGAGGGTACCATAGCCATCTTTTTTCTGGTGATGATGATGATGATGGAGGAAATGATGATGATAATGATGGTGGTAGTGATGATGATGGTGGTGGTAGTGATGATAACGATGGCGATAGTAGTGATGATGATGACGGTAGTGGTGGTGGTTAGGGTTAGGATGATGTTATTGACGATGATGATGATGATTGTTTTTAACAAGTTCGTTATCATTAGCTTGTTTTCGAGACAGCCCAATTGTCACCTCATCATCACCATTATACCTCATCATCGTCGTCGTCATCATCATCATCACGATCACAATCATCACCGCCACAATTACGATCGTCATCATCATCGTCATCATCATCATCATAAACTTTTTTTACTGACCGTAAGCACTGATGAAACAACTTCAATCAGTTTGGCCATTCTTTCATTTTCTAATTCGGAATTTTGTCGTTGTTGCTGATGATGATGATGTTGTTGTTGCTGATGATGATGATGTTGTTGTTGCTGATGACGATGATGTTGTTGTTGCTGATGATGATGATGTTGTTGTTGCTGATGACGATGTTGTTCCTGGATTAAAATCTCTGGAGGCTTTTGTCATAATTTATAGATGAATGAATGAATGGACAGATAAATGAATGAATGAATGAATGAATGAATGAATGAATGAATGATCGAACGAACGAATGAACAAACGAACGAATGAACGAACGAACGAACGATTGATTAAACTACTAAAACAAACAGACAAACAAACAAACGAATGAATAAAACACATATTAATGAATAAACGAATGAACGAACGAACGTAAGAATGAATGAATGAATGAACGAACGAACGAACGACCAAATAAATTAACGAATGGTCATAATCATCATCAGCGGATACCTCTCTCTTTCTAATTATTCTAATTTGAGCGTCAGTATTCATGTGCCTTATGCGCCATCTGGGTAATAATAATAATAATAATCATTATAATAATAATATAATAATAGTCATAATATTCATTATAATAATAATAACAATCATAATAATAAGGTAGTAATTTTTGTGGATTCGAATGTACAATGTTGTTGAGAATGAACCAATGAATGAATTACTAACAAGAATAATAATAATAATAATAACAAGAATAGTAGAAATAATAATAATAAACCTGCCTGTATATCTTGCCATAGATACATTGATACATCAGGGAACATATGCCCCTGCATATTGACCTCTCGCTTATTCCTTCTAAAGATATCTAAAGATAGTATTCATTCATTCATTTATTTATTCATTCATTCATCTGTCTATTCATTCATTCATTCATCCATTCATTTATTCATCTATTCATCCATTCATACATTCATTCATTATCCTCATTATTATTATTATTGCTATTGTTATCATTATCAGCAGTAGCAAAACCTCGGGTATGGCCAGGTAAAAAAATCTCTTCTGCCTCCCTGTCATCGGTTGAGTGACTGAATGAATGGATGAATGGATGAATGAATGGGATGAATGGAAGAATGAATGGATGAATGAATGGATGGATGAATGAATGGGATGAATGATTGAATGGATGAATGAATGAATGAATGAATAAATGAATGGGATGAATGAATGAGATGATTGAATGAATGAATGAACAAATGAACTATCATCATCATCAACAGCAACATTATAATCATCATCATCACCACCACAATCATCATCATCAGCATCGTCTACTTGAAGCAACCAGCGAGAAATCATGAAGACGGACATTTCTATCATAATAATTGTAAGACATTGCAGAGCCTGTGGTGATGATGGTGATGATGATGGTGATGATAATGGTGATGATGATGGTGATGATGGTGACGATGATGATGATAGTGGTGATGATGATGAATGTAGTATTAGTATTCTTGGTGACGATATTTATAATAATAATAAGCCAGTCATCCAACTAATATCATCATCATCGTCATCATCCTCGTCATCATCATTACCGTCATCATCTTTCTTTACCACCATCATCACCGCCTCTCAACCACCACAATCATCGCCATAACTCACTCTGCCAGTTCAAATAGTACAATTCTGCATGATTAATTAGGTGCCCCGAGACGGCCAGCCAATCAGAGAAGAGCTTTCTTAGGGCGACGAATCCCTTTATGAAATCTGGGTCAAACTCACGGTAACCTACATAGTAATAATAATTATAATCATAATAAACTATAATAATTATAATAATATAGTTTAATTATAATAATATTAATAATGAATAATAAAATTACTTACTAATAGGTCTATTTACTTTAGAAAAACAACAACACCATCACAAACAACATCATCATCATCACAAACATCATCATCATCATCATCATCGTCATCATCACAAACATCATCATCATCATCATCATCACAAACAACATCATCATCGTCATCACAAACAACATCATCATCATCACAATCATCACCATCATCATCATCACAAACAACATCATCATCATCAACACAATCAATAAAAAGACCATCACTATCAGCACCAACCGTAATCGTAGTGAACGTATTGGATGAGTGTCTTACAGTCAGTCAATCCGGTCCAGTAGAGAGGGAACATGTTCTTGTGGGTAACGTTCCTCAACCTCGCGAGCTGAACTGTGACATAATCATTTGCGTCATGATCATCGTGAGCCGAGCAAGAGATCTGATGATGACGATGATGATGATGACGACGATTATGGTGGTGGTAATGATGATGGTGGTGGTGGTGACGATGGTGGTGATGATGATGACGGTGGTGGTTTGTTGATAATGAAGATAGTGTGTTGATAACGATGGTGGGATCTTATAATGATGGTGACGAAAGAAGAAACATCTTTATCATACATCACCATCATCATAATCATCACCACCATCATCATAATCATCACCCCCACCATCATCATAATCACCACCACCATTATCATAATCATCACCACCACCATCATCATAATCATCACCACCACCATAACTATCATCGTCATCCCGACCTCACGTATGGTGAAACAAAATGGCCTCTTAATTGCGTAACTGGTGGCATGAAGCTTCCTGAAGCCACCACAAATACCACAGCCATCGATGACGAAATCCCTGCCTACGATTGGCTGCATGGTTTTGCAAACTAGGTCAAGAGGGTAATCAGGTCGGTTATTATTATTAATGTTGTTAATGCGGTTGCTGTGATTGTGCAGGTCGTAGACTGCTTGACTGCTGATGGTCCTGGTGTAGTTCCTGTTAAACATTGACCTGACCAATTCAATGCGACTATTATTATTATTATTATTGTTATTATTGTTGTTGTTGTTGTTGTTATTATTATTATTGTTGTTGTTGTTGTTGTTATTGTTGATATTATTATTGTCATTGTTATTACTCCCGTGAGAGATGAGAGATTCTAAATAAGGCCATCTTGCATCTGTGATCTGAGTATGAAAAAGTTATAAAAAAAAGTACTTCTACTACTACTTCTACTACTACTACTACTTCTACTACTACTAATAACAACAATAATAATAATAATATATTAATAATAATAATATAATAATAATAATAAAATACTAAACAGTATTTCCAATTATGGCATAGTGGTCTATAGTGTTAAATACACCAAAAGCGGTTTCCCTGTGTATTTGTTTGAAAATAACAACAGTTCGAATGATGTTACTGATGCTGTTGATGCTGTTGATGTTGTTGATGATGTTGTTGTTGATGTTGATGATGTTGTTGATGTTGATGTTGTTGTTGTTGTTGATGTTGTTGTTGTTGTTGATGTTGTTGTTGTTGTTGTTGTTGATGTTGTTGCTGGCATTGTAAATATCGCCAAAACTTTCATTAGCATAATCAAGGCTGCTGACGTGTTGCATGCTATCAATCGCGATCTCATGAATATTAATGTTACTGCTGTTGCTGTTGTGGTAGTTGTAGCTGATGTGGTTGCTGTCACTAGAGTTTAAAATCCTTTGGAGTTGGTTGTAAACAAATTTTTACCAAGTTGGTCAGGCAGTCAAACCACGCACAATTTAATCAATCGATCAATCAATCATTCATTCATCCAATCAATCAATCGATCGATCACTCACCCACCCACTCACTCACTCACTCACTCACTCACTCACTCACTCACTCACTCACTCACTCACTCACTCACTCATTCATCCAATCAGTCAATCATTCAAACAAACCAGCCAGCCAGCCAATCAACCAACCAACCAACCTATGGAAAGACAAACAGTAAAAAACTTTACAAAGATCTTCATCACAGGCGAGACTATGTCTACAAAGATTGAACAATACTCTCTCCAATTTATTACTATCTCCGTAATCATCATCATCATCATCACCGTTTCCATTTTCAGTGGCGGTACTGATGATGATACCATTTGCATCCAGGTAACTCTCCAGTGCCTGAACTAATCTATTGAGCTGTACATTGAATGAGAAATTGGATGAATGAATGAGTGAATAAATGAATGAATGAATGAATAAACAAACGAACAAATGAACGATTGAATGAATGAATGAATGAACGAATGAATGAATTATGGGGGGAATGAATGGATAGACGATAGAGTGAATAAATAAAAGAACGAATTAGTAAATGAATGAGGAAAGATATAAACTTTTTTTCGACACCCTCATCTTTCATCATCACCACCACCAACATCATCGTCATCATTACCATCATCAACACCACCATCATCGTCACAACCACCACCACCACCATCATTATCATCGTCGTCATCATCATCGTAACTTTTTTGCAGAATTTTTTATTGCAAGACGGTTCTTGGCACCATTTGCTGTTCACAACCCTAGCCCACTGAGTGAATGAATGAATGGATGAATGAATGAATGAATGAATGAATGAATGAATGAATGAATGAATGAATGGATGAATGAATGAATGAAGGACAGTGTTTTCTTGTCTAAAATAACTGACTTTAAATAAAAATGACGGAGCCCCGCCAGGCTTAATCCGTCCCTGAATACTACTACTACTACTACTACCACTACTACTACTACTGCTGCTGCTACTACTACTACTACTACTGTTTCTACTACTACTACCACTACTACCACTACTGCTGCTTCGACTTCTATCAATAATAATGATGACAATCTTATTGTTAATAAACAAGACGAAAAATATTACTAACCAAATCCAAGTTTTCAATGGCTGAAAATACAAATATTACTCAATCAAAATCAATCAATCAATCAACCAATCAATCAATCAATCAATCAATCATACGATCAATCGACAACTAAACAAAAAACAATCAACTAACCAATATTTTCATAAAAAATTTGGTTCAAAAAAAAGGCTCTCTCCTCGTCATCATCGTCCTTGCTACCTCCGCCATCTTCATCGTCATCAGTGACGTCATCTTCATCGCCGTCATCGTAAACGCTGCGATCATCATCATCAATTCTGTAATCATCATCAGGAACGGCGTTCGGCGTGTCGATGTCACTGAGGCTGTTGAATTTCGGGCTTATGAGAACGTTCGACAGGTCGTCGGTGACTAAATCGCCAATGTCGTCACCATCGTCATCACCATCGTCATCATCATCGTCATCATCATCGTCATCTTCGTCGTCGTCATTATTTTCGTTGATTATGTTTATTACAATTGGCATATCGTTATTATTATTATTATTATTGTTATATTTATTATTATAATTATTAACGTTTCTGATGCTATCGTTATTATTATTATTATCATTATTATTATTATTATTATTCTCAACCTCCACTGACGTTAGCATGATGTCAAATGGTGATGACGACGACGTGACTGACGACAAAGGTAATGATGACGATGGTGCTGCTGATGATGATGACGACGGTGCTGCTGATGACGATGACGATGGTGGCGCTGATAATGATGACGATGGTGGCGCTGATAATGATGACGATGGTGGCGCTGATAATGATGACGACGGTGCTGCTGATGACGATGACGATGGTGGCGCTGATAATGATGACGATGGTGGCGCTGATGACGATGGTGGCGCTGATAATGATGACGATGGTGGCGCTGATGATGATGACGGTGCTGATGATGATGACGACGGTGCTGATGATGATGACGACGGTGCTGATGATGACGATGACAGTGGTGGTGCTGCTGATGACGATGACGGTGGCGGGGATGGTGACAACGATGACGTCAAAATACTAAGGCTGACTGCACTCAAATTGGTGTCAATTACCTGATCATTTGGCTTCAGATTGTCATAGGAATCCATTTTGTATTAATATTATTATTATTTTTTTTTTTATTATTGCTATTGTTGGTATTATTTAGTTTATTTGGCTACCTATCAGATCTTCCTGCTATGAAATAATTGCATAATAATTTCATATAAATAATAATAAATATAAGTGTAAACATATAACATATATTTGTAAGGAGATAGAAGGATGAAAATAGAGAAAAAGAGAGAGGAGAGAGAGAGGGGGGGAGAGAGAGACTTCTAATTACAAGTAACCACTTCTAATTACAAACAACTTTTTGATCATATGAAAAATTAGCACCAGATTTTGTTACATTACATTACAAATACTATAATTTATAATATCATTTATACTGTGTATACACATCTTCTAAATCTACACACCTACTAAATACTGTACCAAATTCTAAATTTTAACAATTTTTACTTCAACTGAATTAGAGATTTAAAACTTTTTATACTTCTAGGAAGATTTTCAAATCACAGATTCCCATATTAGGCATATTTACATGTTCTTTACAAAATTTTCATTAATCACAGCTCACATTCCCGAAATTTTACATATAAAAATCTTGTAAATTTACCAATTTTGGAAAATCTCACAGCTTATTAGTAAAAGTATGTGTAATAAGTTATTACATTTTTCATACTTTTACATGTTTAAACATTTACAAAGCTTTACATAAATACAAAAAATTTAAACATTTACGATCTACACATGATTAAATAAAATAATCTACACTTATGTAAGATTTTTTGTTTCATTTAAAAATACTACATTCTTTTTGTGTTTTTGGTGTTTTACTTTTTAAAATATTTTAATTTAAATTTTTAATCAATCTCACAATGATTTACATTACACTAGGCTATTTTTCACTATTACTTTTAAAAATTTTTAAAATTTTCCAAACTATGAAAACTAGAATTCAAAATTTGGTAGAATTGAAAAAATACTCCCAACATGGGAGTATTTATGATTAATGATTAGATTATCAAACTCAACTAAACAGCGAGTCGACCTCAAAACCAAAGCCATTTTCGGCTAAAAGTGAACTTCAGTTTTAAATACATATACATTGATTTACTTATTTATTCATAAATAAAATACATAAAATATCACGCCATTTTCCTAAAATAATCTACGTACTATGAATACCCTGAATATATTTATCCCTATAAGTACAGAAAAGTACAATGCAGTACAAAACTATATAGTATGAAATTTAAATACAATTGTTTATAAAGATCACTAATTGTATATAAAATATTAATACATCAGATTTTTTCGATGTTAATAATTTTTCTTGTACCGTTTTATTAAATTCATATACAGTTAATAAAATTTTACAAGTAAAAAGAAGAAAGAACCAATGAAAAAACTATAGATAGATAGACAGACAGACAGATAGATGAATAGAGAGAGAGAGAGAGAGAGAGAGAGAAACAGAAACAAAGGCAGATATATAAATATGAAATAAAAAATACCAAATTTCACTTTCACGATTGAGCTGTCCTTACTGATGAATAGACACGCGAGTAAGACAGGCAGGCATTTGTCAAAAATTAACATTAGCGCGATTGTATGTGAAGCTAAGAAAGTGTTAAACATTTTTGCTGTAATATTAATTAAAATTAATAAAATAATAATATAATAATTTTTTTTAAACGTAATAGCAAGTTCTTATGTTTAAAATTCAGGTTAAATCAAAAAAATGATCGAAAATAAACTATACATCAACACCATTTCTGAGAACTTATTTTAAGATACAGTGACGTGTTGGTATCCGGGATTTCTACGGTTAGTTTCGCATAAAAACCACACACGCACGCACACGCGCACACCCACACACACCCACACACAAAGAAGAATCAATTTATGAGACGTTCACATCCTAACGGTCTAAATATAATTATAGCAAATTTAATTACTTAAGGAATTCTATATAGGCAAAATAGGATTAACCTTCTTTAAGTTAAATTAAACAGATATGAACGATCGAGTGTACAAATTTTGAGTCTTCAGGAAAAATTGTTATTAAAATAATTCGTCTTAAATTTGAACGATTTGAACGCTTTGATGATCAAACTAACGATTGTGGCACACACATACATAAACACACACACACACACACACATATATACATAAACACGCACACACATACATAAACACACACACACATATATATATATACACATATATATATATATATATATATATATATATATATATATATATATGTGTGTGTGTGTGTGCACACACCAATTTCTCTGGCATTTTTGGCTGGGTTTGTATTCAATAAAAAGGTTATATCATTTTTCTCATTGTGTGTGTGTGTGTGTGTGTGTGTGTGTGTGTGTGTGTGTGTGTGTGTGTGTGTGTCTGTATATATTAATATATGTTATTAATTTCTATATGCTATTGAAATTTATATCAGTGTGTAATCTACCTATGTATATAAATAAACAATAGCAATAAAATGTTCTAGAACATTCTCCGTTATATTAGTAGAGTCACATAATAATAATAATAACAATAATATAATAATAGAAAGAACAATAATATTAATAATAACGGCTATTTCATTCGTTCGTTCGTTCGTTCGTTTGTTCGTCATCGATCGTAATATTATAAAACTTCGAACCCTCGACTTATTGTTGTTCGAGAGTAATTAATATAACTAGATGAATAAATAGATCACACCAATTTCTCTGGCATTTTTGACTGGGTTTGTATTCAATAAAAAGGTTATATTATTTTTCTCATTTATTAGCAAGGGCCGTGGCCAATAGGGTGGGGGTGAAGCTATAGGGTCTTCCCTCCTTCCCGGAAGTAATTTTTCCGAATAATCTTGTAATAAATTTAATAACCTTATTGGTTTTAGTAAAGAACATGTAAATAGATAGAAGTATAAAAAAGTTCTAAACTTCTAATTCAGTTGAAGTAAAATTTGTGGATATTTTAAAATCTAAATTTTATTGCTGAATTTTATTGTTTAAAATGAAATTAATGTCTTTCTATCGGTTGCTCTTCTACCACTACTACCTAATTACTTAAAAAATTACTGCTACTGCTACGGCCACTGTGGCTGGTGCTGTTACTACAGCTGCTGCTGTTACTACAGCCACCACTATTAATGTAATACTGAAGTTATGATTTAATGTTGGCAGATTTCCCTTGTCACATTAGCAATTAACGACAACAACATCGATAACGACAACGTCAACAACAACATCAACAAAAACAACATCAACAACAACAACATCAATAAAAACAACATCAACAACAACAGCAACAACAACAACAAGTTCAACAACAACAACATCAACAATATCGACAGCAACAACAACAACATCAGCAACGGCATGGATTACGAGAACGAGATCCTTGACGTCCGCAACAACAGCGTTATAGATGTTGAAAAAAATGACGATGACGTCATTGTGCCGAATTTCAACATGGCGGTCTCTTCTTTTTCTCTTGTTGGTGGCGACGGGGAATATGTTTGCCAAGATTACAACAACAACTTCAACAATGACAACGGCCTCATCAACAGCAACAACATCAACAACAACGACAACAACAGCAACAACAACATTATGAATGCTTATGATGACGTATTTACTTCCGCCGCCAAAGATGACGTCACAAGCAACAACAACAACAACGTTAATAGTAATAATAATAATAATAATGATAAGGATGGGAATAATGATGATGACGATGATGATTTTGTTGATGTTGATAATGATGAAGATCTAAATATGGACAAAGTTGAGGAGATGTTTAACGAGAGTTGCTCCGAAGTTATGTGTCGAGATAGTAAATGTTTGAAGGTAATGTCATCATCGTCGTCGTCATCATCATCGTCGTCGTCATCATCATGTCAATTGACATCACAACTCACCACACACACACGCACACCACACATACACACACTTTTTTTATCTCTTTTTCTCTCTCACACACACACACACACACACACACACACACACACACACACACACACACACACATATATATATATATACACACACGAACACACACTTTCTCTTTCTCTCACTCTCAAACACACACACACACGAACTCTCTTTCGCCACACACACACACACACACACACACACACACACACACAGCTAAGAGAAGATTTCACAAACATAGAGAGGGTGTTATCCTCTGGTCATCCGAATAGTTTGATAGAAGATAGGTACTTGTGTACACTGTTTAGACTGGCCGTTCAGTTAGGCATGTCTTGTTCTTACCCGATCTGTAAAAATCCATTTTGCGATATCGTTAATTGGATTAGATGGTAGGCTGGTTGATTGGTTGGCTGGTTGATTGGTTGACTGGTTGATGAATATTAATTAGTTTGAATATGTTAAGTAGTTAATTGGTTAGAATATGTTAAGTAGTTAAAAGCGGCATAATAGTGCAATGGTTAAGGCGCCTGATGTTGCGGTAATTTATAATAATATAATCAGAAACCAGTTCTCATGAATATTAAATAGGTATTAATGAATATTTAAAAAATATTTTTACCTCTCTAAATATATCAGCAATGGCGGACAGCACGGAAATGACGATGATGATGTTGACGTCATAATTGGAAGAATCTTCAAGACGTACATTGAATTCAATCATTCGACCTTTAATGAAGCATTTTGGGTGATTTTTTAAAATTATTAATATTATTATTATTATTATAATTTCTGTTGTTGCTGCTGCTGTTGTTATGTAATAATTATCATAGCTGTCAGCCAATCAGAGAGAAGGGTTACGATACGAAGTTAAGGGCGCCCTAATGAGTTTCGGTCACGTGGTCGCCTTCGCCAGCTCACGTGACCCTGACCTCGACGGGCACCGTTCGACCTTCATTATTAAAAAGGTTACCTAATAATAATAATAATAAAAATAATAATGGTAGTAATATTAATAATAAAAATAGCAATGGTCATAGTAATTTGTTTCAACTCTCTCTTTCGCCCACCGTCATTTCTTTCTCCCTTTCTTTCTTTCTGTCTGTCTTTCTCTCTCTCTCTCTTTCTTTCTTTCTTTCTATTTATTTTTCTTTATCTCTCTCTCTTTCTTTCTTTCTTTCTATTTATTTTTTTTTATCTCTCTCTCTTTCTCTCTATCTCTCATTTTTCTCCTCTCTCTTTTTTTTGTACCCTTTTCTTACTCCCTCTATCTTTTACTCTTTCTCATTTCTCCAGCACTCACTCACTCACACACTCACTCACTCACTCACCAACAGACAAATTCCCGCCAATTCAACACGCTGAATGAAATATTAAAGATGACGACGACGACGATGATAAAAGGTACCCATGAGAATGTATCTAAATTGTTGTGGTATCTATCTATTGGAGATATGGATACATCGATACAGTGGATATCATTTGAGAACGGTTGGTGGATCTCCTTAGTTTATCATCATCGTCGTCAACCATATCATCATCGTCATCATCATCGTCATCATCATCATGATCGTCATCATCAACATCAACATCAACATCATCATTAACATCATCACCACGATCATCACCACCACCATCATCATCAGGAAATACACTATTTCCGCCCCCACAAATGATGCAACCACGTGATCTAGCCACCCACGTGAGTTTAGCGCGAGGTCTGTTGGAAGGATCCAGATACCTCTACAAACAGTGCGGAATTTACTTCTTGAATTTCGACGGTTGTGATGATGATGATGATGATGGTGATGATGATGATGATGGTGATGATGATGATGAGGAGGAAGAGCAAGAGGATGGTGATGGTGATGATGATGATGTGGAAGAGCAAGAGGATGATGATAATGATGACGAAGAAGATGGTGATGATGAGGAAGAGCAAGAGGATGATGATAATTATGACGAAAAAGATGGTGATGATGATGATGAGGAGGAGAAAGAGGATGGCGATGATGACGACGATGATGAAAAAATGCGACGATGACGTCATCCATTACTTACTCACTGATCGGTACAGCTTCGGCCATGTCTTACAACTCCAGTCAGAGCAGGGTCGTCCTGTCAGACTTCTCTAAAATCCTTCCAGGTGATGATCATCATCATAGCCACCACCACCATCATCATCAAAACCACCGCCACCATCATCATCAAAACCACTGCTACCATCATCATCCTAACCACCACCATCATCATCATAATCGCCAACATCATCATCATCATAACCACCGCCACCACCATCATCATCATAACCACCAGCATCATCATTATAACCACCACCATCATCACCAACCCTATATAAGTCTATAAAAACTCTATATAACACTTTATAGCCCTTAAATTTGTTTATGGTGTTTAACGAGAAGAAATGAGAGGGCAAACATGGGGATGAGTTAAGAGATAGGGAATGGGAATTTTCGGGAACGTTGTCAAAAATGGGACTTCGGGAGAGTATTGGGAGTGGGGAGAAAAACTGGAGGGAATTCGGAACATATTTCAATTCACCAGCTCACCTCCATTGACCATGATGATAACGACGATGATGATGACGATGACGACGATGGTGATTGTTATTATGAAATAACCAAATGATGGTGAAAATTATAAAATGGTGATGGTGATGATGACGACGACGACGACGATGATGATGATGATTACAGTTGGCCGTCTCAATTATGACGATGTCGATGAAGATGACTTCCAAATATTCCTACAAAGCCTTCCAATGAATACCGTTTCGCCGAAGGTAATTAATTAATTAGTTAATTAATTAGTTAATTAATTAATTAATTAATTAATTAATTAGTAATTATTATGAGTTTCGTTGAAGTCAGTTAACCCACCAACCAACCATTCAGCCAATTAACAAATCAACCAACCAATCTACTATCCAACCAACCAACTAACCATCCAACCAACCAACCAATCACCCATTAACTAACCACCCAACCAAACAACCGACCAACCAATCAACCAACCGACCAACCAACCAAGTTACTCCGTGGAGATCTTAGAGAAGAAATCCTATCATTCGGCATATGTACATTTATGATTCAGTGTGTGACCGGCCATAGTTACAGATGGCATTTGAGGCACGAATGCTTTGACTATGCCTTTGAAAAAATTGGGAAAGAAAGAGGAGTAAGAGACAGATATTATTATTATTATTATTATATTGTGTGTGTTTGTGTGCGTGCGTGTGCGCGCGTATGTACGTGTGTGTGTATGTGTGTGTGTGTGTGTGTGTGTGTGTGTGTGTGTGTGTGTGTGTGTATGTGTGTGTGTGTGTGTGTGTGTGTGTGTTTGCCGCTTAAGTCTTTGAAAATTTGAAAATAAATTTAAAAAAAATTAATACTAGCAATAATTAAGTTTAAAAAGAAGTTATATCATGATTTAGTTATAAAAATGATAAAATACATTATTAATGTATAAACAATTGTATATGTGTTTGTGCGTGTGTGTTTGCGTGTGTGTGTTTGTGCGTGCGTGTGTGTTTGTGTGATTTATTCAAATCATCATGACTTTTATTATTACTACTGTATGTAATTATGATGCACGTACAGGTCGTGCCTTATCAACCCGAATGCCTCGAGGTAGCGAATGACAAGTTGATGCTTTTCCAACTTCTTAGAGAAATGATTGATAGGGTAAATAGCATTAACAAAATATATTATTATTATTATTATTATTATGAGTAGTAGTAGTAGTAGTAGTAGTAGCAGTAGTAGTAGTAGTTGTTGTTGTTTTAGTAGTAGTATCATTTTTTCAAATGTTTCACTGATAAAAATATTGAATCATCATCATCACCAGCATCACTATTATCATCATCACAATTATCATCAGCACTTCAGTGATAGGCCGCCAGGACTGAGCGATATTGCGAACAGTCTGTCGTTACTATAGAAACCACAAAGATAATATAACAGGGATGTGTTATATATATTTTTTTCATTTACATATCTTTGGTGAAATTCACACGCCCTTCACTTTACACATTCCACATTCAAAAAATATTCTACTCTTCCGACTTTTTTGCCAAATTCAATGGTGAAGAGGTTATTTAAAAAAAGTTATGAATATTTTTTAACGACGATATGTCGCAATTTACATATCAATTTTTTTTATATAATTCGTTTAGTAACTATTTGGTTTAGTTGTTAAGATGCCTGCCATTGCTGTGATAATGGCCAAGTTCGACTGCAGAAAAAACTCCGCTTTCTGAAAATTTTTTGAGAGAGAATTTAAAATCTTTTAGAGAATTTTATACATAACTATGTAGTTATGTAGCTCTTTGGTAAGGCAAAAGATTTGCAATTAATTTTTTTGCCACCAAAAATATAGCAAGAGTACATGATAAATATTCCCTAATTAACAATACACACTATGTTGTTGCGCATTTTTGCGCGTGTATTTATATGTGTACGTGCAATTAGCACTGTGTATTGAACGCCTTCGAAACTATCTGGTATCTGTCATCCATCGGTCACTGACCGTTTCGGCAGAAGAGAAAAAGCTAAATATGTTAAAATATTTAAGTACTTTAAAAAGGAATGAAGTTTATTATTAAACTATAATATCAATCAATCAATCTTCGTTTAGCTTCCAGAGACCCAGTTCCCCGAGGTAGGAGGTATTATTAAACTATAATAATGGACAAATTTGAAAATTTGATGGATTGCTCATCAAAGCTGAAAAACGACACCAGAATCTTAAGCGCACTAAAAATGTGCGGTGGTGCGTTCGAGGGCCTGTATAGATATTCAAAGTATATGGCATATGGTATATATATATATATATATATATATATATATATATATATCTATGGGTTTCACGTATAAACACATAGAATATGACGCCATTATTAATACCAGTCAGCCATATGACGGCGTAACCACCTGTAACTGTAGAAATTCCTGGTCTGGAGCTGCAATGACCGTATTCAAATGCAAAGTGATCCCAGCTTGCTACATGCATAGACTTTTCGGCGTGAATTTTTCACGTATTCACAAGCTCAGTGAGTTTGTTTATTTTTGATAGCTGTTATACTTAAGAGGGAATTAACAGAAACAGCTTCCATACATTGTTCCAGAAGAAAGGTTTCAAATGAGAGTTAAAGTCATTTGTTCAACAAAGCATTTAATTACGGTAGTATCCTCTGAGGAATGTCAATAGAGTGAATGACATAATAATAATAATAATTATTATTATTATAATAATTACGCTAACTACTTTTTTATGCATACCTAGACCGATATAATACCTTAATATTTATCACACATACATACAGATATGGGTATATGTATCGTGTCTGTATAGGTATTTTTGCGGTATATTCGAAACGTAGAGCGAATTGTCCATATATGGTACCAACCTAATATCCTTACGTACGCTAAAAGGATTATATTACAGCTTTCCAGTGGAAAGTAAAATCGGAAAAATTTGTAGAATGTTTTTTCTTATGCTCTTGCTCCGTCTATTTTGCTTATTAACTTTTTAAAATACTCACACACACACTCACACACACACATATATATGTATATATTTTTATGATATTTATATATATATATATATATATATATACACCAACGCTGGCTCACATACACACACATACCTACATATACATTTTGTTAGTTACGTGGGGTTATTTTTATTGGTTTTTAAAAGAATTTACTATGAAATTTATAATAAAGACTATTTGTTTGCATATCAAAATAAATTAATTTATATATATATATATATATATATATATATACATAACTATATGTTCTTTTATTTATTTAAATGACACTTGAATTTTTTTGTAACTTGTTTTCGACTTGCAAATTACTTGCTGAAGCCGAAGGCTGGCTTAGTAGGATTGAACTATAGTCACCCTTTTTTTTACACTGTTCGATCATGTTAAAAATTTATTTGCTCATGAAATAAACGACTTTAATAGATCGAAATTGTTATTTGAACAACTATCTTTATTATATTCAATGAATATTTTACATTCTGCTGGTGCTCATTGAAATTGGTTGCTGAAATGATACGTTGGCTTACCGCAGTGGCTTACTGGGTCTCATACAACTGTTTCATGGCGGTTTTCTGTACATATAATGCTTTAAATAAATCAATATATTTATTTCACAATTATTTTTGTCAATATAAACAAAGAAATTGCTTTTGTTTGGTGAAATACAGTGGCCAAGTAAAGCCGTATGTTGGCTTAATCGGATTTTTTTCATATATACAATACTATGAAATAAATAAATCAATCAATCAACCAATCGGTCGGTCAGTCAACCAGTCAACCAACCATCCAACTAACCAATCAATCAACCATCCATTCATTCAATCAACTAATCAACCAACCAATCGACCAATCAATGAACCATATTTGAAAAATATTTGCAAGGCTTGTTCAAACTCGAACAAACACTTAACCGTACAGATCTACAAACAATTTCGAGATTTTAGTAAAGAAAGAAAAACACAACAGTTGCTTTTATTAAATCAAGAAATATCCAAAAATTCAAAAATTTCATAACCAAATTAAAAAAAACTAGAAACCAGTCAACATTTAATAAATAAATAAATATATAAATAGACAATATTAAAAAGATTGTTCAAAAAGGTAAAATTTAAAGCGACGATGAAAAAAAATGTAGTTTGTTTTGTTGGTGTGGTGCTGTGAAGCGAAAACAAACAAACAAACACATCACAAAAAATAGTAAGAAGTCGCAAGAATAGCAGTCAGTCACCTACCTACAATTAAATTACTCTCAGGGCCCTAGCTTACTTATAATCATTAACTCAACTCACCTACCTACAAATATGTATTGGAATTTTACTTGTTTTAGGTATTTTAATTTATATATTTCAGCGTTTTTATTTTACTTGAAACTTTTTAACTAATGTTAAATCCTAGCCTACCTACGATTGTTCAACTCAGCTCAATCCCTAACTTACCTATGAATTAAATTAAAGTCCGGTAAAGAAAATAGAAAGTTGAAGAGAAACATAAACAACGACACCGAATGAATGAATGTTTTGTATGTGTGTGTTGTATTGATGTGTGTGTGTAAATGTGCGGGCGTGTACTCTCCAGAAACTTCTTCACTCACTACGGACGAACCTCCATTGCACCGATCATCATCTGACACGCATCGATGGAATGAATTTGACCGGATACTGAATAACACTGAATGGAAAAAAATTAATTCATTAAAATAAAAAAAAC